CTGAAGTTTCCAAGAGTCATTTTCCATTCTTATGCTTTTATCATGACAAAATAGGGCTGCAGCAAATTTAAACTTAACTCCTTAAAATCAATAACACTGAGCTGCTGTATTTCACTTCCACAAGAAAATTCTGAAATGTCTTGCTTAGCAGTTAGTGAGTACAAAGACCACACGGTTCTAAACGCCAATACGTTTTTTAATGTCTGTGTCTATAAATGCTCCGTGCAAAAACTGACAATAACTTAGCTTTACTGTAGATTCTACGTGGGATGATTTAACAGTCAGTCACTCATAAAACTCGTCGTCGTAAAGCCTTCATCATCAAATTCATCAACATCATCAGAGACATTACGAAGATCACAAGCTTTATAAAAAGCCTCCACTTCTTCTCTCACACAGTCAGTGCCTCGCATCTCTTCTGACAGCCTTTCTATTGAATCCGTTTGCAACCCAGCTTCCACAAAAATATGCAGCTGTGATTCGCTTTGGAGATCAGCTCAGCTGTGTCTCGTCTTGCTCTTGGTAGGCTCCTTCTGTTCTTGGCAGAGCTCCAAGCCTTCACTGACCTCTCAATAATCCCTTTTGAATCGTTTGTTCCATTAGCTGGCCCATTGATGGAAACTTCTAGCAACGATTGCAGCATGTCACTTTTTAAGGTTGATCTAAACCTTGTTTTGACGCGTTTCACACAACTGGCACCCCTCTCTGGCCAAGCATTTGATACAGGAGTTGATAGCATTATGTCGGCCATGTTACTGATCTTGGAGTAAAAGTGGGAAAGGCTGCAAATCTGCCTCAGACACCATTCAGTAGCTGTTACTTTACATGGAGACACAGAGAGATTGCATTCTTCTGGAAGATCTTGTTTCCACGTGAGCATGTCATACTTCAGTTTTGCAAATTCTGTTTTGATTTCCTCTTGAGCAGTCGCCTTCTGATCAGCAGGCATGGAACTTGTGAGGTGCTCAGCTATTGTTTGGACTTGGGTTTTACCATACGGCTTAAAACCCAGGGCGATCCTTGTTTGGGACTTTCAAGGGGTCAAATATTGACCAAGCAGATACCACAGGCAGACTCTCCTCAAACCTATCAATGTTGGTCTTAAGAGCTTCTACATAGTTGCACAGAAGATTCTCTAAGCCCTGATACTGGTACTCTGAGGCAATCATGTTGAGCAACCACAACCTTCCATCTGCTTGAAGATCTGCTTTCAGCCTACTGATGGAGGACATTGTTTCCTCTGCCTCATCTAGCTGCCCTTTGGTGTACTCAATTGTTGGCGCGATTCGGGAAAAATCCACAACTCCCTTTTGAAAAGCCTTACTCGTGATTAAGAGATGCGGCAATACTTCTTAAAGAATGTACACTTAATTCCGATGAACTTCACATCCTTCACCTTTGTAAACAGACCCTGAGAGGTTGCGTCGTCATCCTTTAAATAGATCAAGGTATGAGAGATACGCATGTTGTTTATTTTGGAATTTGGAAAAATTTTACCCACCCTTGCATAAAACAACCAACGTGAGTCGTGACTATTTGCGTGACAAAAAAGAGACGCTGAGTAATAATAATGATAATAATAATAAATGACAATTTATATAGCGCCCTATCCAAAAGCTCTAAGGCGCTTCACAATCAAGGTAAAAAGTAAAATAATAATCAAACGTAATTATTCAAACCACCCTCTCCATCCTCTTTTACCAACACGCTTAGACGATACCTGTCCCTATAACCTCAGGCACAAATCAGACCAGTTGTATCTTTACAGAAACGTTACTACCTGTAGAACGAAGCGCACCGAAGACTTTTTAACTTTTAAGTATTTTTAACAAATGTGATGTATGTTCCGTGTAGTGTATATACTTGTACTTAATGTATACAGAAGTGCACATAGTCGTTGTTATTAAGTTTTCATTGTATCATAACTCGTTAATTCAGTAAGTTACTGCAAGAGAGTTTAATAAACTANTCTAAGATTACACCTATGTTCCTGGCATAGTTCGAAGGCTGTATAACAGATCCATCAATCGCTGTAAAAGAAGGAAGCTGAGAAGCAGACAGATTGCCCGATCCGATGACCAAAAGCTCAGTCTTATCACCGTTAATTAAGACTGGGAACCAGTGAAAGTAGCTCGTGACGCTCAGGCAAGAGCAAAAAAAAAAAAACATGGCGGCAAGAACGTGTCAAGAACGTAACACATTTTCCTTTGAACCAACTGCATTGCCTTGAGTAAATAACACAACGTAACTCTCTGCTCTGATGTAGAGTACATGGTCGAACCAAATTTCTGTCCGACAAAGCAATAACTGGAACGTACACAAGCCCTGTATGACTGATACGTATTTTTTGCATGACGAGTAAACAAGCGAGAGGAAGACCCAATTAACGTTGTAAGTTTGTAGTTAACAAATCGCCGACTTTTTTGTGCATTTCTTGTTAAAGTTCAACAACGGCAAGTCCACGTGTGACAACTAGTAGGCCACATCTTTTGCTATTAAATTCGCTTAGGCATCATCCCAGTGGTCGATTTGAAAGAGTATTGTTGAAGCCTAAACGGTGATTTGTTCAGTTTAACGCCATCATACCTTGAAGCGGAGCCAGAAGAGAAGAAAGAATCCAGCTTTCGGTATTTGTCCATTTCTGCCTTCCGTTTCTTTGATGACATAGTCGTGCAGAACCAGAAACTCCGAAAACAAGAGAATCCGATCGCGCGACTGAAACAAACACATCGTAAAAAGCGCGCGCTTGCAGGACGGTAACATTGTTGACTGACTACGCGTTTTCATTCAGCCTCACAGTGATTTTAAAGTCACTTCACTTTAAAAGGTGGAAGAGAGTTTGTGTAATAAACTATTGGTTTGTTTTCATTCAAAATTTTGTCATTTGTTGCACTTTTACTTTCTAATGTTTTGGTTTTGTATCAAAGTAGCCGGGACACAGACTTGCAGTAGCCCTTAAAGACAGCCCTGAAAATTAGTAATGTATTTTCGCTTCCTCTTAAACATATAATTGTAAAGCGCTCTTGATCAGCATATGTAAACACGCGCTATATAAATTGGAAAATTATTATTATTATTATTATTATTATTATTATTATTATTATTGAGAGGGTGTGCTCTATCAGAGAAGAAAACACGGAGCTGATACAAAGCTGTCAAGCCATCTGCCAATTTGTTCTCTGTCCGACCATATACCGCACTTATCTGTAACTTTTTTTTCTTTACTGAAAGTTAAATTTCGGAACAAGCCAGCAGCCAAGTAGTAAGCAAATAAGGTTTGCAAACATGCCAAGCGTCGTAACTGACGTCATTATAACGTAAGCATGGATGAGAACCCTAAAAGTGAAAAACGAAATGGACAGTCCTAGTTGTAAAGACTGATTTCCACGGTCAATCAGTTCCTTATGCTCGCTTATGCATGCAGGCTACAATAAACACTTAATTTACTTCCATTTTAGCAATTCAATTTTCTTTTCGTTCGCTCGCTGTGCTAGTTATATCATACAAGAGTGAGGTGCTCTGTTTTATAAGGAAACCGAGAAAACCGGCGTAATTCTTTATTCAAAATCCCCCAAAGAACATTTAAATAATAAATTAGTTTTGCATGAAAAAGACCCCCCACTCGATAAGTTTTAGCATCAGGACCTCAAAAATATTCTTTTAGTCAACCTAATCTAGGTTTCTTTGCACAAAATAAACAAACATGAATCAACCTTAGCTCCCATGTACTGACATACTCAAATTCGGAGGGTTCATTACAACCAAAACTGATTCCCCTGGATTTCATAATAAGACGATTATTGTAGATGGATTCTAATCTCAATAAGTTAAACCCTTTACAGCTCGAGATTTTCGCCAACTCGTGGTGATATGTTTCGTTGCTACCACCTTTTTATTCCTCAAAGCTAAGATTGAACTCGAATCACATCAGCTCCGTGTTTTCTGTTTAGTGAAAAGAAGAAGGAAACTTCGCTGACAAAAATGACGAAATAAATTAAAAGAGAAAAAAAGGCTTTATTTTAGGAATGACAATAAATAACGATAGTTATTCCCCAGGAAAGTGTTCCAGAATACGCAAAAAGAGTCAAAGTGTGCGCCCAAGGCGCTGCTGATGATCTCGCGGCAATGCAAGCATGTGTTACTAACATTAGAGGGTGGATGTTAATGGACAGATTAATGCTTAACGATGACAAAACCGAATTCATTATTTTAGGGACTAGGCAGCAACTGCCAAAGGCGAACATTGACTCTGCGCGTGGGAAATGCAACAGTTCCTTTGTCTTCTGAAGTCAAGAATTTGCGTTGCAAGCTTCACAGTCAACTCAAAATCAACACTCATATTGATAAGACTTGGAAGCTGGTTTTTTATTTATATAATATTAGAAAAATCAGAAAATTCTCAGTTCCGAAAAATGTACAAACCTTAGTAAATTCCCTTGAAATCAAGCCTCCTGGATTACTGCAATGTGGAACATTCCTTGTCACGTGCAAAACTACTTTCACTTGAACTGGCAGCAAAATATTCACTCGGTAAGGCAAAAAACATTCAGTACTTAACCGAGGAGAAAAACGATTGTCTAAATATGCTAGTCAACTCCCTTGTAATTTCTAGACTTGACTATTGTAATAGCATTCTATATGGGATACCAAAGTATCAAAGGGACAAACTACAGAGGATCCAGAATATCGCTGCTCGTATGATAACCGGAACACGAAACACTGACCATATCACACCTATTTTAAAGAAACTACATTGGCTGCCAATCGAAGCAAGAGTTAATTTTAAGATATTACTTATAACTTATAAGATCTTAAATGAGCAATCTACTAGTTATTTAGAATCTCTTKTACAAGAATACCATCCATCAAGAACACTGAGATCATCAACTCGCTTACAGTTATACATCCCACCTATTAAATCCAATTCCTATGGTGGACGCGCTTTTTCAGTATCTGCACCGAAACTATGGAACTCAATTCCCAAATATATTAAGAGAGCGGAAACACTTGAAACATTCAAAACTAAGCTTAAGACATTTTTGTTTAAAAAACATTACTGTTAATTAATTACTTATTCTTATAATAATCTGATGTTAGGCGCATTGAGATTAGAAATGCGCCCTATAAGCATCTACTTATCATTATTATTATTATTAAATATGCAAAAGATTAAGAAAAAGATTTAGCCAAGAAATTTTAAGATTAAAAAACGAACACCCAGTTCCTTCGGTTAGCAATTCAAAAGACTCCTCAGTTGCACCCTGTTAGCCAGCCTACGCGAGACAACCACATTGGTGAGCCCAGCGTTTTGCAATGGTAAAGGGCTAGATGACTTTGGTATTGAAGCCTGTTTGCAAGTGATCTTGGCTGACAAATGGGTCTTCTTTCCTGATCCGGCGAAGGTAAAACGCAAATGCTGCTCCGGCGATTAGTGCGCCGAGTAAAATCATTCCAAGTGCTAAAAGGGCGATCTCCCATCCTTTCATGCCGTAACCTGCGAAATACACATGAGAAAAGAAATCGTCAGTCATGTGATATTTGATTCTTGTCGATCAGTTGAAAGCTGTTCATAAATCACTGGTTCTGTATTTCTTTACCTATCGGTATTTCTTCAAAGGTCCTTCACGCGTGGAGGGAAAGCAGAGCACAAACAGCTCTCCATGCCACAACCAATTTAATGACCTGTAACATTTTTATCACCTAACTTTTTAAGATGAGATTAACATTTGCAAAGTATATTAGCAGTGCTTCAGTATGATTTGAAATAGGTTGCTACTTCGGTACATCACCCGCCGGAGAGCGACTTGAGTGCGACTTTAGCGTGGTGACCGCGACTTGAGCGCGGTGAAATATACCCGGTGACTCACAACGGAATACCCGCTGGAGAGCGACTTGAGTGCGACTTTAGCGTGGTGACCGTGACTTGAGCGCGGTGAAATATACCCGGTGACTCACAACGGAATACCCGCTGGAGAGCGACTTGAGTGCGACTTTAGCGTGGTGACCGTGACTTGAGCGCGGTGAAATATACCCGGTGACTCACAACGGAATACCCGCTGGAGAGCGACTTGAGTGCGACTTTAGCGTGGTGACCGTGACTTGAGCGCGGTGAAATATAACCGGTGACTCACAACGGAATACCCGCTGGAGCTCCGGCGTGTGCCGGGTCTTATTGAAAGCACTATTTTAGTAACTCTTTGTGGAAATTTGTCTCGCTTAATCCTCCAAATCTGACCACCACTAGGCCATAAACCATTTTTAAAGCACATTAGACATGATGAGAAAAGTACCTAAATGCTTCTAGAGATCTCACAACCTCGTTCTCATGGCCTTTTCCTGCCCCACCCCCAAGTAAGGCCATGAGAACGAGGCTGCAGATTTCAGAATTAGAAACTCAGCTTAAAGTTTTCCTTCTTGTTCCGTTCTTCTTCCTTACTTGTAGAGGTGGTCGTGGTGGTCGTGGTGGTCGTGGTGGTCTGGGACCAAGAGCCGTCGCACGATAGCTTGGTGACGTCATTAGCCATCGCCAGGATTGTGTCAGTGGTCTTCTGTAGGAACTGAAGCATTTCAGGCGTCACATGACTCAAACTGTCGCAATTCTGGTGGTAACACGATGTCATGTATCCTCTTTGATCGGCTGTGTCACTGAGGAAGATGGCGCTCATTGACGGATTATAGCTCCAAAAAGACACGTGATCACTGCGTAAGAAATCCCCATACCAGTATTCATCTTGAGGGGATGGGGGACCGTGAAATGGAAGGTTTACTTGATATATTGTAGTTTTGTTCCCGAGAGCTAAGTGAAGGATCAAGAAAGGTAAAAGATCACATTATCATATTATGAAATTGACCAATCGCGGGTAAATTTTTGAAAAATCGTCTCAGCAATTCTTGTTGATGTTAAAATCATGAATTACTATAATAATTTTTTTCATACATCCCCCGTTTAGTGATCACGTAAGGAAACTCTAATCAACCTTCTGAAATCTACACCGGAGAAAAATGCGATTCTCGTCACGAGCGTAACAAGAATGATTTAAATCTGAGATCCCGCGAGGAATCGAACCCCAACCCTCGGACTTCGCGCTTCAATGTTCTACGACTGAACCACAGAGACTCTGAGGGGAATACGACTATTATTAGCTTAAGATATAACACTCGTCCTGCATACTGCAAGGGTCTACAACGTCAAACGTGACAGGAGAGTAAATAGAACATTCTAAGAAAAAATGACATATCTTAACATATTGCGCGACTCAATTGTAAGTGACTCTTGAAATACGTGCAAATTATGAGAAGAAAAAAAAAGCACTGATAAAAATAGAAGGCACGCGCATTTAATATTTCCCTTAAGCACCTTCAAATAAGGCTCAAAGTCATGCTAATGTCCCTTTGATTGCGATTCACCACTGAAGATCGGTCCGTCACTTATCAACTACAAGGAGAATGATTTAATTCAGATGATTTTAAAAGAGGAAGTTGGGACACGGACATCTGACAAGGGAAGAGAACCAAGTCAGAAGACTGGATGAATGCTTACCAGATTTCACTTGACTGTAATGATACCAAAATGAGTTCAGCAGTGCTGCATCATCCACTCCTCGACCAACCATGGAAAGGAAATACCCTCGGAACTCGTCCTCTTTGATCTGATGGTAAATTTCCGGCGCGAGTTTATCTACCCCAGGCGGGAGACGCTGCGAATTAGACGTGGTGTTATAGTTGAACATCGTGTCCATGATTATCGCTCCCTGAAACTTTCCGTTTGACTTTAAAGACCCATTATAAAAGCGTGTGAAATTTGCGACAAAAGCGCGACTTCCACAGTCGATAGAGCCACAAGCACATCTGGGCGTGACCGTTTGGTTGGAACAATACAATTCCCATTCCTCAAAATCAAATGCAACGAACACAACGCTAAAACTACGGGTGCAGTTGGAGAAATCTGGCGAAAAAAAAAGAAAGCAAAGAGCTTAATAGATCATTTTTGCCACCCACCCACTGAGGTCTCATTCCTCGTAATTTTTTGAGGAAATCGAAGACATTAAAAAAAAAAAAAAAAGAAAAACAAGAGGTACTGCAAATGGCAAAAATCGAACTTCTTTACATATGTTATCAGCGGTTTATACTCTAAAGTGAAAATGTCTGTTATAGTCGTGAAAAAGAGATTTTGTGCTGTTCTTTTGCAGGTTGAATTTAAGGATTCTACATTCTTCTCGTTTGCTGCTGCCACAAGCTTCAGTCTTCAACTCTCTATAAAATATGTCCTTCCCTCCCTCCCCTCTCAAAAAAAAAAAATAATAATACTACACCGTTTCTGCAATGGCCGCCCCCCTCCACCCCTCACGATACCATTAACATGGATTTAAATATTAGTCAGCTCTCTGGGTAAATGAATCATGCTGCCCTGGTATCCCATGGATACATTCGAAATTTGATAGATTGCCGAATCAAATAAAAAATGCTGTTATCCGGGTTAGTACACAATACACACCGTCGTCATAACTCCTTCGAGACGCTTCTGGAATGTTTTTTTGTTTTTGACACCGTCTTAAAGGTCATGTCTCCAGTACATTTTCCGGTGATATAAAGATTATTCTATGGAAAGTCCGCACGAACGCTTTATGTCCACGAGTTGTAATGCATCAAATAAACGAACAACTGAGCGCAGCGACAGAGTGAGTTCTTCGGTGCAACGTAACGAGTGAATAACAATTGTTCAAGCACTTTCCATGGTATGATGTTTCTTTTTTTCATACATACTGATGAGATTTGCACTGTGAAGTATGAAGCGAGCGACAGTGAAAATATATCGTACATCCAACCAGAGACACGAACAATAGTACTTCATATTCTGAGTAGATGTGAGATAAAAATATATCTGCGATGGTACAGTTTGCTTTCACTATTTTAAGAACACTACAGGAAAGCTGTACACGTGATAAGCACTGCTCTACTAACAGTTATATTAACACATTAACAGCTTACCCAATGCTATTTCAGATGCTAGGATGATTCTCTACGCAAATGATGCTGTATCATTTTGTGCGGGATCAACTACAGCTGAACTAAAAGAGAACCTGGATCTTGGTTTTATGCAAATTTGTAACTGCTACCATGACAATAAGCTGACCTTGAATTTTGAGAAAACGAAACTGATGCTGACTGGAAGTAAAAATGTACTGACATCTTTTGAGGACTTTCAATTTAAATCTGATGATGATGTGATCATTGATCGTGTGAAATATTTTAAATACCTCGGAGTGACCATTGACGAAAAATGGAATTGGAGGCCTCATATTCGAAATTTGATCAAGAAGTTAGGTCATCGTATCTGTATTTTTAATCGCATTTGCCATATGCTTGACGAAAAGACTCGCCTTGCGTACTACAATGGTTTGGTGTTACCTCATTTAGACTATGCGGATATAATATAGGGCGATCAACCAGGGTTAAAATCGGAAATGGAACAGCTACAGGCCTTCCAAAATAAGTTTGCTAAAAAGGTCTATGGCAAGAAGGCCTCCTTTAAAGAGGCAGTTAAAGAAGTAATGTGCTTGCCTTTGGAATTTCGGCGTCGTGCGCATCCTTGTGTACTTGTTCAGAACGCAATAAAAGGAATCATTCCTGTACACTTTGATAACTTTAAATCAACACTAAATTCACATGGTTACAACACCAGAAATGGACACCTTCCACGCTTTGGCAGAATTAGAACGGAATGGGGACGACGCATAACATCTTCTCAAGCGACAAACGAATGGTTGGCACCCGCCTGAGTTGAAAAAGCCTATATATGCTACCATTAATTTTTAAAAGACACATATAATTATTTTTTAAAATTACCTTATAAACCTTAGCATATTATTAATTTCAGTATTTTAATCTTAGTGCTTTTATATGCTTCTTTACATCTACATGTATCTACAAATTATTTCTTTCTTTTCTTTTTAATCTAATCTAAATGTATTTTTAGTCAGAGGACCCACCTGAAAACCACTCAATGTGATGAAAGTACCCTCTTTAAATATTATTTATCATTATCATTACTATTTCTAACGGCGATGCCGAGGGGAAAAAGAAACGTGCGACGTCGGCCTGTCTCTCTCTGTTTCCTGTCACTGATAGTGCTACGACAATAGATAAAACACGCTCGCAGGTAAACTGAAAATTAGATGCAAATATTGTGCAAACATTATGTCGTCTAAGGTATGACAATCTTCGGTCAAAGATAACAATGATCCTTCGGTTCATTTCTGGTCAGTTTGTCATTTTTCGTTATGAAAATGCGTTGCAAAGCCCAAGTTACGTTGCCTGAATGTGCATTTTATCTATGGCCATAAAAGCAAATAAAACACCTAACCGGAAAATTTAAAACACCATTCCAAGAAAATGATCATGTAACAAAACATACCTTTGGCGAGCTGCTTAGCAACTTGCAACATAGCAACCACACCTGAGCCATTATCGTCAGTACCATGTGACGTAGTCCGCATCGTGTCGTAATGAGCACCGATCAGAAACAACCTGTCGTCAGGCGAGCCCGCGAGTTTGCCAGGGAGCATTCCGACTATGTTTTCTCCAGTCGCGTACTGAAAAAGGCAAACAGTATTGTCGCGAATAAATCTTAAAATGATTTGAAATATAATACGTCTTTTGCTAGAATGGGTCATTTAAAAGGAATCTGTGGACTTTGCCATTTCTTTTGAAGTGAAATGACAGACAAACTAACACATTGACTGACTGACTATCGTTGGGCCTGCAGTCAAGATGACCAGGTCTTCGACAAGGCACTTTACTCCTGACAAGGCCTCTCTCCGCTCACGAGTATAAATGAATACAGACAAACTATCAAGTAGACCTTAGGGGTACCCTGTGATGAAATAACTTTACATCCAAGAGGGGAGGGGGAATTTGTGATAAGTAGTACCATCGAGTGGGCACTGGGTTCGAGAATGGATGTTAACTACGCAGAAAATGACATTCCAGTCTTTATTGAAAACAATTCAATGAAAACAAAGTAATCAAATAAACAAACCAATCCAAACCGATCCAATGAAACAAACTATCGCATTAAACACAAAAGATAGTCACCTTTGGATAATCTGGTTTAAACTTTTCAAACCATGTGACGAGGCCCAAATCCTGAAAAGTTTGACTGATAAACTCCTGTGCTTTCTTTTTTCCTACGGGGTTAGTCACGTGATGTCTGTTATGGTTGAAATGTTTCAGGAAATCCATTAGTGATTCAGTTCTGTCGCTGTATTCCTTTTGAGTGGCAGCTGTCAAAATGGAAAATCAGTCACTAAAATTTGTGAAACTATGCAGCCCCTGCTTGACACAGCAACAAATGACAGTGAAAACTCTAAACATGCTTATTATGAGGAAAGCCTTCCTCTGCAAATAACTTATCTTGATAAGTTACTATATTTAAACTTTGAACCATGTTCATTTGAAATAAGCTTCCTGTTTTATCTTATTATTTGCAGTCGAATTATTATAAATATGTTCATTAGATGTTGTGACCTGTCATTCGCTCTTCCCCTAGGAGGTTACTGCTGATATAAAAAATTTCCATTTGTAATGTGTGGTTAGAGCTAACTGTTTCTTCGAGCCTGATGTCAATAGTACTGCGTTAAGGGACAACAGCGAGCGGTACGACAGGCATCTCGGTAACTTGATGTGGTTTATAACGAAGTACCCACTTTTAATTCTTCTTTCATATCTAGGTAAGCTTCATTATGTTTAGAATAGTGACAGCGTTTGCGGCGAAAGTGAAGTTGTTTCTCAATTTGCCGATAGCGATTTTGAAAATATTCAGGAGATGTTGGTTCGGAATCGATTTCACGAGCGATCAGAAAAAAGTGTGTCGTCCCCGGCGTATGTTGTTACAGTCGGAACAGTGCTTTGCGCCGGAATTTTTTTCCATTATAGAACTTAAACAAGTACGGGCTGATCTAAGGAAATACTTCAGTTGGTTTCGGAATAAGCTAGAGCAAAACACCGCGGTCACGAAACACAAATCATTGCAGCTTGAAGGAACTCAGTAAACTTCAAACTTGTTAATTCGATCTTGGTATCCGATATGGGACTACAGTTCGCCAAACTACGCCAGTGAGAATATTTCTTGCGAAAAGTGTTTAATTGAGAAAAACTGTCAATACGTCGGCAAATTCTGGCCACAATCAGACGGCTTTAAACAGCGAAACCGTGAACCTCGGTGACCCAATGAAACACTGACGAGAAAAATAAGCGATCATTATCATACCTGCATAAGAAAGATCGAACCTTACCCGTGCCACTAACAGAAATGACCTTAGAGAGAAACAATAACAACTGAGTGCCTCTCGCTAGGATGAATTTCGAACTTACATCAAGAATGGAACGGAAGGGAGGGGAAGGGAGGGGAAGGGAGGGGAAGGGAGGGGAAGGGAGGGGAAGGGAGGGGAAGGGAGGGGAGGGAGGTAATGTTTACTGAAGTGGAACTGAGTCCTAGCTGATAAAAAAAAAATCCCCCTACCCTCCCCTCCCATTTCAAGAATACCATTTTCTTGTGATGCTTAAATTATTCCCTCTTTCCCGGAAAACGGGCTTTGAATGGTTTACAGGAATTCGATCTGGCACCAGTTTCCGAGAAAGTAATTAACAGATTAACATTATCTTGTAATCATTTTCCGAGAATTGTTTTCGAGTAAAAAATTAGTTTTCCACACTGTTTAATTAGTTGACCAAAAACGGTTATTAAAATACTTTAAATATAGTGGCAAACACGCTGTTGTTCAAAGGAAATCGCCAAAATAGCGTTAAAACGAACGTAAGCGACAAGGCGGCTATGGAATAGAGGTAGGGAGACTTAACATGCTATAATCCTCGCGGTGTCCGGTCTTTTCGTCCAAGTCTTTTCGTCCAAAAGTATTTTCGTCCAAGTCTTTTCGTCCAAAAGTATTTTCACCTAACTCTGTTCGTTTACTTGTTAAGTCTTTTCTCGAAGCAAATAAACAACTTTTGGAAGGCTAGATAGGGCTATAGAAAGAACTTGTTGCGAGCCGCCGCCATTTTGGTACCGATAACTTTAGTCACCGATCTTTACGATAAATACACAGAGAATGATTGAAGTTGTAACGCAATATACTTTATTAAATAGTGACAAAAGTAAAGACGTGCTTGACGTTTAATTATTTCACGCGAAAGAAATGGGAATATTAGGCTTGTTGTTAAGCGTCTATTGAGCGTAAAAGGGCAACGAACTGTAACATCACTACGTGAATGGCTCGCAACAAGTTCTTTCTATAGCCTTATCTAGCAGTCAATTTCCTCTGACTGCCCGAGTCGTGTAATAAAACAGTATAATTACTGATCCCCATGAAATTCTATTGTTCTCTCTCTGCATTAATCAACGATTGTAGTCTCTAAGATGACAAAACAACTGTATGAGGAAAACGGAGGCGGTCCTTTTTGTTAGCAGGGAAATTATCAGGGGTAATATACTTAAACGCGCTAAATAAGCATGCTGCAATATCAAAAATATTGCAGTGTGCAGGCTGCAATATTAAAAATATTGCAGTGTGCAGGTTACAATTATTAAAAATATTGCTTCTTCCACTCCTCAAAGACTTTCAAAACCCACGCCCATTTCCGGCGGCTGGCGTCTGAAACCCAACTTTTGTCAAATTTCTCGCATTCTGAAGCTGTAATTGGCGTTCTAAATCTTTGCTCTATTTAAAAAGAAGAAAATGGAAACGCCGCCTTTAGAAGTCGTTAAAGAATTAGAGCACTGACAGA